AAATCTTTCGTGGAAAACGGATAAACTAATCAGGGCGCAAAAAAAAGACGAGCAAGGATAATCACCGCCAATAAAAAAGGACAGAAGGGAACGAGGGGCACACGCGGTGCGGGTGGGGGGGAGGAGGGGGGAAAGGGAAGGGAGATAAACACCGAAAAAAGGCAGGACACGTCCGGGCGTGGTACTAGAGCAAGATCCCAAATGGCGCAACCTGTCCGAATTGACCAACTCCCGAAAGTAACGCATTTTTGCAGTTTTCGCCAAACAAGACGGCGATCGGGCTGAGGGAGATGCATCACTTGGGTTGCGCCACTCAGAAAGTTTCCTGGCTTCGCGCCGCTACGCGCGAAAGCAGCTAACCGTAATGCGAAAATCGATTCCGCTCTAGGAATCTGATAACAGAGGTGACCCGTTTCATATCAGGCATTTCGCATTCTCCGAGCACGCCCCAATGTTCCAGATGAGCTGCTATTCCCACACGAAAAACGCAATCCCCTGTTCCATTATCGGTCTGTGCTCGCTGCGACAGATTTCGCGAATTGCGCATCCCGAGTCTATCAATTTGGCTCTCTTTTGCTGTAAGTACTATGCCCTACTCCAGCACGGTAAACAACAAAATGCGGGGTCAAGCACGGTTTCAAAAGGTGGGATTCTTGGCCTTGCCTAACGGAAGGGACGAGCAGCAAAGTCTCGACAGAAAGCACAATACCACCACACCACTAAGCCCACAGTTCTGAGAGGCTTTTGGCAGCTCACATAAGGATAGAGCGGCATACAAAGTGCATACAGGGGCGAACGCACGAGACACAGGATAGTCGCGGCACAGATAAAGCAGGAAGGCAGGTCGACGCAAATTTTCCCCGGGCATCACGGAAAGGAGCCAGTGCCGCACATGGCCCGAAAACGACAGAACTGCGGGAACACAGGTGAGGGTAAAGACCAGGAGAGCACATACATAACTGAGGGAAATGCAGAAATGAGAGCCGACGGGAAGATCTTAGGGGGGGGGAAACACGTGCATGACGAGTTGCACAACTTGGGACAGCAGCCCGAAGCATGGGAGCACGGGAGCATGGGAGCATGGGTGTATGGGAGCATGGTAGCATGGGAGCAGGGGGAGTATGGGAGCATGGGAGTATGGAGAGCATGCGAGCAGGGGAGCATGGGAGCATGAGAGCACGTGAGCATGGGAGCATGAGTGCACGGGCCTTTGGGAGCATGGGAGCAGGGCAGCATGGGAGTATGGGAGTATGGGGAGCATGCGAGCACGCGAGAAGTGGAGCATGGGAGCAGGGGAGCACGGGGAGCATGCGAGCATGGGAGCACAAGCATGAGAGTATGGGCGCAGGGGAGCATGGGAGGGAGGGATCCAAAAGAGGAGTCGAGGTGCAGCAACGAGATGAGAGAGGGGGGAACTGAGAGGCGAGTCGAGGTGCAGCAACGAGGTGAGAGAGGGGGGAAATGAGAGGGGAGTCGAGGTGTAGCAACGAGGCTCGTTCCCCCCTGCCGCCACCCTTCATCTCCCCTCCTATTACCCTCCTTCCCCCTCGCAACCACCCTCCATTCCCCCCCCGTTCCAGGCTCCTTCCCCCCTGCCGCCACCCTTCATCTCCCCTCCTATTACCCTCCTTCCCCCTCGCAACCACCCTCCATTCCCCCCTGGTTCCAGGCTCCTTCCCCCCTGCCGCCACCCTTCATCTCCCCTCCTATTACCCTCCTTCCCCCTCGCAACCACCCTCCATTCCCCCCTGGTTCCAGGCTCCTTCCCCCTGCCGCCACCCTTCATCTCCCCTCCTATTACCCTCCTTCCCCCTCGCAACCACCCTCCATTCCCCCCCGGTTCCAGGCTCCTTCCCCCCTGCCGCCACCCTTCATCTCCCCTCCTATTACCCTCCTTCCCCCTCGCAACCACCCTCCATTCCCCCCCCGTTCCAGGCTCCTTCCCCCCTGCCGCCACCCTTCATCTCCCCTCCTATTACCCTCCTTCCCCCTCGCAACCACCCTCCATTCCCCCCTGGTTCCAGGCTCCTTCCCCCCTGCCGCCACCCTTCATCTCCCCTCCTATTACCCTCCTTCCCCCTCGCAACCACCCTCCATTCCCCCCCGTTCCAGGCTCCTTCCCCCCTGCCGCCACCCTTCATCTGCCCTCCTATTACCCTCCTTCCCCCTCGCAACCACCCTCCATTCCCCCCTGGTTCCAGGCTCCTTCCCCCCTGCCGCCACCCTTCATCTCCCCTCCTATTACCCTCCTTCCCCCTCGCAACCACCCCCCATTCCCCCCGGTTCCAGGCTCCTTCCCCCCTGCCGCCACCCTTCATCTGCCCTCCTATTACCCTCCTTCCCCCTCGCAACCACCCTCCATTCCCCCCCGGTTCCAGGCTCCTTCCCCCCTGCCGCCACCCTTCATCTCCCCTCCTATTACCCTCCTTCCCCCTCGCAACCACCCTCCATTCCCCCCCGGTTCCAGGCTCCTTCCCACCTGCCGCCACCCTTCATCTCCCGTCCTATTACCCTCCTTCCCCCTCGCAACCACCCTCCATTCCCCCCCCGTTCCAGGCTCCTTCCCCCTGCCGCCACCCTTCATCTCCCCTCCTATTACCCTCCTTCCCCCTCGCAACCACCCTCCATTCCCCCCTGGTTCCAGGCTCCTTCCCCCCTGCCGCCACCCTTCATCTCCCCTCCTATTACCCTCCTTCCCCCTCGCAACCACCCTCCATTCCCCCCCCGTTCCAGGCTCCTTCCCCCCTGCCGCCACCCTTCATCTGCCCTCCTATTACCCTCCTTCCCCCTCGCAACCACCCTCCATTCCCCCCTGGTTCCAGGCTCCTTCCCCCCTGCCGCCACCCTTCATCTCCCCTCCTATTACCCTCCTTCCCCCTCGCAACCACCCCCCATTCCCCCCCGGTTCCAGGCTCCTTCCCCCCTGCCGCCACCCTTCATCTGCCCTCCTATTACCCTCCTTCCCCCTCGCAACCACCCTCCATTCCCCCCCGGTTCCAGGCTCCTTCCCCCCTGCCGCCACCCTTCATCTCCCCTCCTATTACCCTCCTTCCCCCTCGCAACCACCCTCCATTTCCCCCTGGTTCCAGGCTCCTTCCCCCCTGCCGCCACCCTTCATCTCCCCTCCTATTACCCTCCTTCCCCCTCGCCGCCACCCTCCATGACCCCCCAGGTCCTAAACCTCCACCCTTACAGTCCCCCCTCATTCCCCATTCCGCCTCTCTATTTTCCACATACAATCAACCTCCGTTCCCCTAGAAGTCACCCCCCTACCCCCGTATGGTCTCGCTCCATCCCTCCTCCTGTCCCATCCTTCCCCCATGCTGTCTCCCTCGTTTCGCCCTCTTGTTCCTTCCCGTCCCCATTTCGGGGGCTTTCCGCGCCGCCACTCTGCTGCCGCTGTTCGGTAGCGGTCCATGCTGTGAGGGTGACGTTAGTGCCTCGCTTATATGGTGCGAGGCGTCGTTTGCGCTGCCATGCCCCGCAGCACGGCTGCGCTTCCTGGCCGCCTTCACGCGTGAGGCCGCCTGTGCTGTGGGTGCCTTTCTCGCCGTTCACTAACCCGAAATCCCTGTTGGCACTGCTCGAGCTCATCGCTCGCGATTCTGCGGAAGGGTCCCACGCTGATTCTGGCGCGGATTTCGGCGACATTGTTCTCTGGCCCGTGGGCGGAAACCACTGCGAAACGCGCGTGTTTGCGACGGTGCTATCCGACAGTCTTTCAAAACAGTCGCGGGAACAATAAGGCTGGGCTAGAGGTCGTGTGCTGGGCTTTTGGTGGGGGAAAGTGGCGTGGGGGGGGGGGTTCGAAGTCCTGGTGTTTGTGTGCCTTGGTTCTGTGTATGGTGCTTTCGCTCGCTGCCTTTGGCGTAGTGGCGCTGGGCTGGGTTTGCACTTCGAAAGTCCCAAAATGTTTGCGCGCATGTTTCAAGTTTCTTTCCGCCTAAACGCCTGGTGTATCGGGGGCAGGGGCGGAATTGGCTGGGGGTGGCGCACGCGTGTAAACAGTTTCCCGTCGTTTTGGTGTGCGACTTTGGTTTTTTCTCTCGCTTTGGGGAACGGGTTACCTGTTATGAATTAATCAGAGTAATAACAGGTAGTGTAATAAAGGAGTCAATACAAATGAGGACCTAGGCATTTATAGGCACATCAGGGCTAGCCGAGAACCTCGCAAACAGGTTGGGGCGATTCGGTTGGCGAAAGCCACAGAAGCGCCGCGCGTTAGATTTGGGTTTACGAAATGGTTCGGGACCGAGGAAAATGGCCGGGCCTGGTCTTCCGAGAGTCGAGGACGTACGCGCTGTAGTTGAGCCCACCCCCACTTCCGAGATGAGACTACCCACATCTGGGACACGTCGTCGGTGTAAATAGTCCCGGACGACCTTGTGTTCGCCGAGCATAGCTGCGGGGACCTAGAGGTCGTCGTCAGTCGTGCGATCGACCCATCGTATCAGGAAATCAACGCTCGCCGAATCCCGAGGGCCTCGTACGCGATGAGCGAGAATTTTCGATGGCTCGATCGTCGGCTCGGGTACTGGATTGACCGTAGGATTGATATGTTGACGGTCGAGATTAGTTGTATTCGGGAGGAACGGTCGCAGGAGACTGACGTGGAATGAACCGTGAATTCGCCAGTCGACCGGTAGTTGCAGCTGGGCGGTGACGGGAGTCACCATGCGGATTATGCGGAATGGGCCGCAAAATCTTGGTCGTAGTTTATTTGGGAGAGGAATGTCAAATGTAACTTAGAACGTTACTGTAGACTATACTGGATTGTGCCTTAGAGGGTACAACACCCTAGTCTATATATCCTTGTACTCACACATTCTAGTTCTATTATTCATTCTGATATGGTATCATAGTAGGTTAGGTCCCCTTCCTAGCCCGCCCACGCTTCCTCCCCTGGGCCCTAGCCGCCGTACGTTCTCGCCCCCGTGGCCGTCGCGCTTGCTCCTAGCCGGCCTCCTGACCGTCGCGTCCGTCCCTAGCCGGCCACCTGGCCGTACGCGCCCGTCCCTAGCTGGCCCTCTGGCAGTTCGCGCCGGCTCCTAGCTGGCCCCCTGGCTGTCGCGCTCGCTCCTAGCCGGCCCCCCTAGCCGTCGTGACCGCCCCTAGCCGGCCCCCTGGCCGTCGCGCTCGTCCCTAGCCGGCCCCCTGGCCGTCGCACCCGCTTCTAGCCGGCCCCCTGACCTTCGCGATCGCTCCTAGCCGGCCCCCCCCTGACCATCGCGATCGCTCCTAGCCGGTCCCCTGACCGTCGCGCTCGCCCCTAGCCGGCCCCCTGACCGTCGCGATCGCTCCTAGCCGGCCCCCTGACCGTCGCACTCACCCCTAGCCGGCCCCCTGGCTGTTCGCGCCCGTCCCTAGCCGACCCCTGACCGTTCGCGCCCGCCCCTAGCTGACCCCCTGGATGTCGTGCTCGCCCTTAACCGGCCCCCTAGCCGTCGCGCCCATCTCTAGCTGGCCCCCTGGCCGTTGCGCCCGCTCCTAGCCGCCCCCCTGACCGTCGAGATCGCTCATAGCCGCCCCCCTGACCGTCGCGCTCGCCCCTAGTCGGCCCCCTGGCCGTCGAGCCACTCCTAGCCGGCACCTGGCCGTTTCACGCCTGCTCCTCGCAGGCCCCCTGGCCATTTGAGCCCGCCCCTAGCCGTCGCGACTGCTTCTAGCTGCCGTCGCGGCCGCTTCCCGCCGTCCCTCTGCCACCCCTAGTCGTCCCGGCCGCCCCTCGCCGTCGCGGCCGCCCCTAGCCGCCGCCGCTTCTGTCTCTAGCTGCCTCACGGTCGCTCCTGCCGTCGCGGCCGCCCCTAGCCACCGTCGCGGCTGTCCCTGGCCGCCGTCGCGGCTGTCCCTGGCCGCCGTCGCAGCTGTCCCTGGCTGCCGTCGCGGCCGTGTCTACTTGCCGCCCGCCGGCCGGCCCCTGCATTCGCGCCGTCGCCGGCCCGCCGCTGCCTCGGGTTCGGCCCGTTCTTCCCGATCAGCACCGCCCTCCGAAACCCCCCCCCCCCTCCGGTACTGTACTACATCGCTTTCCACCGCACTGCACCGCTTTGTACCGCACTGAACCGCTTTGCACCGCACTGTACGGCACTGCACCGCACTGCTCCGCACTGCACAGCACTGCACCGCACTGTCCTACTCTACACTGCCCTCTATTGTCCCTGATGGCGGCGGTGCTTTGCTTTGACGCTGAGGGCCAGCCGATTGAGTTTGATGCGTGGCTTGCTGACCTCCGTCGCCATCTCACTAGTCAGCGGCAGGATGGCCACTCGCTGTCTGTCCATTTTGATGGTACCCTCCCCTGCTCTGACCCCCCCGCTGCACTGTCTCCTGACCCCTCCTCCGCTGGGCGTGTGTCCGCTGCAGCCGCTGCCCTTGCCTGCTTCGTCTGGCTGTCCCGTGACGCTGTTGCACAGCTTGCTATTAGCAATGCCCTCCCCCCGTCCGAGCGACCTCGCTTCAGGTCTATCACCACTGCCCAGGCTTTCCTAGATGCTGTTGTCCAGCGCTATTCCACCCCGCGTGCTGCCTCAGTCGGTCGTCTGATCCTCCCCATGCTCTTTCCTGACCTTGCGTCGTTCCCCACTGTCACCGATCTGGCCGCTCACCTGCGCACCATAGACGAGACCTGGCGTGCTGCCTGCACCCCCACACAGCTTTTAGCCCACCAGCCGCCCCTCACCTCTACTCTCTACCTGCTAGCCACCCGCCTCCCTGACCGTCTTGCCACTGCCCGTGATCGCTTTCTTAGCGTCCACCTCGCAGACCTTACCCTGACTGATTTTGTTGACACCCTGTCCGCTATAGAGGCCTGCCACCGCTCTATCGCTCAGACCAGCGGTACAGTGCCGGTCCTTATCTTTCAGGGTTGTGCCCCTGCTCAGTGCACCTTCTCCGACGGTTCTACTACTGTGGCTGAGACTGCCGTTGCAGCACAGGTTCGTCCGGGGAAGGGTCGCCGCCCCAAGGCTGGACGTGGCGACGGGGGTGGGGGTGCGGGTGTAGGTGGTGCTGGAGTTAGGTCACCTGGTGGTGGTGCTGACGCGGGGACCCTGATAGGTGCAGCCGAGCAGCCGTCCGAGCAGCCGTCTCAGCAGTCGCCGGTGTTGCAGCCGGACCCGCGCCAGCCTGTTAGGATTAAGGACAGAGTCTAGGTGAACTTAGGAGCTAGAATTACTCAAAATATAAATCCGAAATTCTGGACAGAAAAGTCGTCTTCACAAGAAACGACGTCGACAAAACACTAGCCGTTGGAATGTCGCGAAACTTGGATATGTTGTAGCTCTTGATCTCAGCTACCGTTTAGGGTTTAGGGTTTAGGGTTTAGGGTTTAGGGTTCCACGTCTGGGGCTGTCTTGCTCACGTTCGTGCCTCTGGCACGGACAAGCTCACTGCCCGCACCCTTCCCTGTGTCTTCCTCACCTTCCCCCTTGACGCGTCTGACTGGCACTTCTACCACCCGCCGTCTCACCTGTTCTTTCACTCCCGTGACGTCACCTTTGACGAGTCCGTCTCCTTCTTCCGCTGCTTCCCCCACCGAGGTCCCCCGGTTCCCCCCCCCCTGTTCCTGGTCACCCCTTCCCCGGTCGTCGCCGCCCCTCCTCCTCCCCCTCCCTGTCCTGCCCCCTCTGGTGTGTCTCACGTCACCCCACTCAGGTCGGTTGTTCCGGTTGAGGAGTCTGCTGACTCTGGTGGTCCTGCGGTGCAGTCCTCACCGCCTGCCCCTTCTCAGGTGTCTCCTCCTCCGCCGCCTCCGCAGCCGCAGTCGCCACCGCTCGCAGCCGTCGTCACCGCCACCGCCGCCGCCGCAGCCGTCGTTGCAGCCGCCGCCGCCGCAGCCGTCGCCGCAGCAGTTGGTGGCCTCTGGGGGTGCTGGAGCTGGGGTGGGTACTAGTCCTGGGACTCCTGACGTGGCTTGTCCCGGCGGGCCTGGGGGTGGTACCGGTGCTCGAGGGGTTCTGAGCTCTGGGGGTGTTTCTTCTGGAGGTGCTGGCGTGGAGGGTTCTGGAGGTAGCCGCCAGGCAGCTTGCGGTCCTGGTCTCGGTGTCACACCGCCGTCGCAGCAGTCCCTGCCGGTGTCCGCTCTTTGCCTGCTCGGTCTTCCGTCCCCTGACCCCGTGCCTGTGCCTCCTCCTCCTCCTGTCTACGGCCCTGTGTTCCCTCCTCCGGACTCGTCTCCGGCCCGTTTCCCCCCTTGTTCCCCTCCTGTGTCTCCTCCTCTGTTCTTGACCCGACTCCTCCGTCTCACGTCTGGTCCCGCCGTCCCTCCCTTGCTCGCCCTGTCTCCCCTGTCTCGCGCTCTCACCCTATGTTGCTTCATTCCCAGCGTCTCGTCCTCCCCTTCTCCCGTCGCCCCCTCCGTCCTCCCTTGTCGTTCCTCCCCCCCCTCTGTCTTACTACCTGCGTGCCGCTCGTCCTCTTGTTCCTCGGGTCCTTGCCTTTCTCGTTACCGACCCGTTTGTTCCGGTTTCGAGCCTTGACGCCCTTATCGCTATGGTCGCTGACTTCGCCTCTACCCGCCGCCTTGACTACGCTACCGCTCTGGTCTCTGACCCTGCCTGTCCTCCGTGTGTCGGGGGTGCTCCTGCCCTCGGCAGTGACGTCCTGGAGGATCACCAGTACGACCTTGCTTTCCTGTCCGAGGCTGCTCCCCATCTCTGTTCCATGCTTCTAGTCCCTGAGGGTGACCCCGACGCTTTCGACATCCCGACCCCTCGCACTTTCGCTGAGGCGGTCTCGGGACCCTGGGCCTCTCAGTGGATAGCTGCCATGGAGCAGGAGATGGCATCTTGGAGATCCACCGGCACCTACGTCGACGCAGTTTCCCCACCTGGGGTGAACGTAGTCGATGGCCGCTGGCTCTTCAAGGTGAAGCGCCCTCCTGGAGAGCCGCCTGTGTTCAAGGCGCGCTACGTGGATAGAGGTTTCAGTCAGCGTGAGGGGGTGGACTTTCTTCCAGACCTTCGCTCCGACCCCGAAGATGACTACTCTTCGGGTGCTGCTACACGTAGCAACTCAGCGCGACTACGAGCTTCACTCCCTGGACTTCTCCACTGCGTTTCTTCAGGGCAGTCTACACGAGCAGGTCTACCTGTGCCACCCTCAGGGCGTCACTGGTACCTTCCCTCCTGGGACCCAGTGGCTCCTGCGCCGCCCAGTCTACGGCTTGCAGCAGACTCCCCGTGAGTGGCACGACACGCTGCGTGCTACGCTTGCTGACCTGCAGTTCTTTCCGTCCTCTGCAGACCCCTCGCTCTTCGTTCGTGCTGACCAGACCCTGTTCTACATCTTTGTTTGCGTAGACGACCTGGTCTTCACCACAGCAGACAGGGATGCACTGGCCTCCGTGAAGGCAGGGCTGCTAAAGAGACACACCTGCACTGACCTTGGAGAACTGCACCACTACCTTGGCTTGCAGATCTCCAGGGACAGAGCAGCGCGCACCATCACTTTGACTCAGTCACACTTGGTGCGCCAGGTCCTTCAGAGCTTCGGCCTTCAGTTCTCCGCATAGCCCACTCCTCTGCCTCTAGACCACAGGCTCTCCGCTCCAGTTGCTGAAGAGTCAGCAGAGCCCAGTGGTCCTTACGTAGAGCTGGTGGGTTGCCTCATGTACCTGATGACTTGCACTCGCCCAGATCTCGCATACCCTCTCAGCATCCTGGCTCGCTTTGTGGCTACAGGCAGACACCGACCTCAGCACTGGTCTGCCGCTAAGAGGGTTTTGCGTTGTCTTGCAAGTACATCGGGCATGGGGTTAGTGCTAGGAGGACGTAGACCAGTGGTCCTTACTGGACACACAGACACTTCTTGGGCAGACGACGCCGAGACCCTTAGGTCCTCACAGGGCTACTGCTTTAGCCTTGGTTCAGGTGCCGTCTCGTGGAGAGCTACCCGCTCCTCGTCTGTCGCCCAGTCTAGCTGTGAGGCCAAGATCTACGCCGGTGCCATGGCAGCACAGGAGCTCCGCTGGCTGACCTTCTTGCTCACTGATTTAGGTGAGTGGCCTAGCTCTGCCCCGGTCCTGTATGCTGACAACAGGGCCATGATCTTCCTGTGTCAGGAGCCTTGACTCGAGGGCAGAGCGAAGCACATTCAGCTGCTGTACTTCCTCCTGTTTGAACTGCAGCAGCGTTGCCAGGCTCGCGTAGTACACTTGGCTTCCGGTGCCAATACAGCTGATATCTTTACGAAGGCGCTTGCGCCTAAAGATCATCAGCGGCACTGTGTACAGCTGGGTCTTGTTCCTGTAGCCTCTCACTTGCTAGGGCCTTGACTGTGTACTGTCCTTTATATATATATTTTACCCAGACTGGTCTTGTGGCCTCTCCTAGTGGCTGGACTAGTAGTGCCGCCCTGGTCTTCTTCTTGCCTTGTCTGTACTCCTTCTGACTGGTCTTTAGACCCTTGTCTCAGAGGCTGGACTAGTAGTGCCGCCCTGAGCTGCTTCTTCCCTTGTTAGGCATTGCGCCTATATAGTTTAGGGGGTGTGTCAAATGTAACTTAGAACGTTACTGTAGACTATACTGGATTGTGCCTTAGAGGGTACAACACCCTAGTCTATATCCGTGTACTCACACATTCTAGTTCTATTATTCATTCTGATAAGGAATCCCCAAATTTCGAGTGTCGAGCAGGACCAATTGCCCAGGGGCAAGATTGATGTCACGGCGTCGTCGGTCAGCTTGCTGCTTAGCCCGTTGGTTGGCTTTGAGAATGGCATCGGCGGCATTTTGCTGAGACTGTCGGAGGTTTTCGACGAACTGCTGCGATCTTGGTGCCGGATTTTCTATCGGTGGCGATAGAGGGGTTGTCGGGTCTATCCCGTAATTAAGGAAGAACAGGGACTGAGTAGTTGTGGCTAATGGGGCGTTGTTGTACGCAAACTCAATCAGTGGAAGAGAATCTTCCCACTGGGCCGGGTCTGTGCACGTTGTATGAATCAGCTGCTACATCGTCTAATTGGTGCGCTCAGTCTGGCCGTCTGATTGGTGCCCCTCCCCCCCCTCTGTCTTACTACCTGCGTGCCGCTCGTCCTCTTGTTCCTCGGGTCCTTGCCTTTCTCGTTACCGACCCGTTTGTTCCGGTTTCGAGCCTTGACGCCCTTATCGCTATGGTCGCTGACTTCGCCTCTACCCGCCGCCTTGACTACGCTACCGCTCTGGTCTCTGACCCTGCCTGTCCTCCGTGTGTCGGGGGTGCTCCTGCCCTCGGCAGTGACGTCCTGGAGGATCACCAGTACGACCTTGCTTTCCTGTCCGAGGCTGCTCCCCATCTCTGTTCCATGCTTCTAGTCCCTGAGGGTGACCCCGACGCTTTCGACATCCCGACCCCTCGCACTTTCGCTGAGGCGGTCTCGGGACCCTGGGCCTCTCAGTGGATAGCTGCCATGGAGCAGGAGATGGCATCTTGGAGATCCACCGGCACCTACGTCGACGCAGTTTCCCCACCTGGGGTGAACGTAGTCGATGGCCGCTGGCTCTTCAAGGTGAAGCGCCCTCCTGGAGAGCCGCCTGTGTTCAAGGCGCGCTACGTGGATAGAGGTTTCAGTCAGCGTGAGGGGGTGGACTTTCTTCCAGACCTTCGCTCCGACCCCGAAGATGACTACTCTTCGGGTGCTGCTACACGTAGCAACTCAGCGCGACTACGAGCTTCACTCCCTGGACTTCTCCACTGCGTTTCTTCAGGGCAGTCTACACGAGCAGGTCTACCTGTGCCACCCTCAGGGCGTCACTGGTACCTTCCCTCCTGGGACCCAGTGGCTCCTGCGCCGCCCAGTCTACGGCTTGCAGCAGACTCCCCGTGAGTGGCACGACACGCTGCGTGCTACGCTTGCTGACCTGCAGTTCTTTCCGTCCTCTGCAGACCCCTCGCTCTTCGTTCGTGCTGACCAGACCCTGTTCTACATCTTTGTTTGCGTAGACGACCTGGTCTTCACCACAGCAGACAGGGATGCACTGGCCTCCGTGAAGGCAGGGCTGCTAAAGAGACACACCTGCACTGACCTTGGAGAACTGCACCACTACCTTGGCTTGCAGATCTCCAGGGACAGAGCAGCGCGCACCATCACTTTGACTCAGTCACACTTGGTGCGCCAGGTCCTTCAGAGCTTCGGCCTTCAGTTCTCCGCATAGCCCACTCCTCTGCCTCTAGACCACAGGCTCTCCGCTCCAGTTGCTGAAGAGTCAGCAGAGCCCAGTGGTCCTTACGTAGAGCTGGTGGGTTGCCTCATGTACCTGATGACTTGCACTCGCCCAGATCTCGCATACCCTCTCAGCATCCTGGCTCGCTTTGTGGCTACAGGCAGACACCGACCTCAGCACTGGTCTGCCGCTAAGAGGGTTTTGCGTTGTCTTGCAAGTACATCGGGCATGGGGTTAGTGCTAGGAGGACGTAGACCAGTGGTCCTTACTGGACACACAGACACTTCTTGGGCAGACGACGCCGAGACCCTTAGGTCCTCACAGGGCTACTGCTTTAGCCTTGGTTCAGGTGCCGTCTCGTGGAGAGCTACCCGCTCCTCGTCTGTCGCCCAGTCTAGCTGTGAGGCCAAGATCTACGCCGGTGCCATGGCAGCACAGGAGCTCCGCTGGCTGACCTTCTTGCTCACTGATTTAGGTGAGTGGCCTAGCTCTGCCCCGGTCCTGTATGCTGACAACAGGGCCATGATCTTCCTGTGTCAGGAGCCTTGACTCGAGGGCAGAGCGAAGCACATTCAGCTGCTGTACTTCCTCCTGTTTGAACTGCAGCAGCGTTGCCAGGCTCGCGTAGTACACTTGGCTTCCGGTGCCAATACAGCTGATATCTTTACGAAGGCGCTTGCGCCTAAAGATCATCAGCGGCACTGTGTACAGCTGGGTCTTGTTCCTGTAGCCTCTCACTTGCTAGGGCCTTGACTGTGTACTGTCCTTTATATATATATTTTACCCAGACTGGTCTTGTGGCCTCTCCTAGTGGCTGGACTAGTAGTGCCGCCCTGGTCTTCTTCTTGCCTTGTCTGTACTCCTTCTGACTGGTCTTTAGACCCTTGTCTCAGAGGCTGGACTAGTAGTGCCGCCCTGAGCTGCTTCTTCCCTTGTTAGGCATTGCGCCTATATAGTTTAGGGGGTGTGTCAAATGTAACTTAGAACGTTACTGTAGACTATACTGGATTGTGCCTTAGAGGGTACAACACCCTAGTCTATATCCGTGTACTCACACATTCTAGTTCTATTATTCATTCTGATAAGGAATCCCCAAATTTCGAGTGTCGAGCAGGACCAATTGCCCAGGGGCAAGATTGATGTCACGGCGTCGTCGGTCAGCTTGCTGCTTAGCCCGTTGGTTGGCTTTGAGAATGGCATCGGCGGCATTTTGCTGAGACTGTCGGAGGTTTTCGACGAACTGCTGCGATCTTGGTGCCGGATTTTCTATCGGTGGCGATAGAGGGGTTGTCGGGTCTATCCCGTAATTAAGGAAGAACAGGGACTGAGTAGTTGTGGCTAATGGGGCGTTGTTGTACGCAAACTCAATCAGTGGAAGAGAATCTTCCCACTGGGCCGGGTCTGTGCACGTTGTATGAATCAGCTGCTACATCGTCTAATTGGTGCGCTCAGTCTGGCCGTCTGATTGGTGCGCTCAGTCTGGCCGTCCGATTGCGGGTGGTATGCCGTGGACAGATGCAGACGTGTGCCGTACTGCTGCCAGGTTTTTGTCCAGAAATTGGACGTGAACCGAGTGTGGCGATTGCTGATGATTGCCGAAGGGATGCCGTGTAGCCGCACGATGTTCGTGAGAAATAGCTTTGCTGTCTGCTCAGCAGTGATTGTCGTCTTGCAGGCGGCGAAGTGTGCCATTTTGGTCAAACGGTCAACGACGACGAGTATCGCGTCATTACCGTTGGGCCCAGCTGGCAGGCCAGTGATGAAATCCATCGTCACTTGTTGCCATGGTCGGCTGGGTGGCTCGAGCGGCTGCAGTAATCCAGCAGGTCGAAGTCGTGAAGACTTCATGCATTGACATGTAGCGCAGGAGGCGACATACTGCTGCACGTCTGTCGTCAAGTCAGGCCAGTAATAATTACGGCTCAGTAATTTGGCAGTTTTGTCGATGCCGTAGTGACCCGAGAAATTTGAGTCGTGTGCCTCCTGTATCAGTAGCTCGCGTAGGGTACGGTAGCCAGGAACCCAAATCCGATTGGTACCGGATTTTAGGTGATAAACCCCTTGCTTTACCATCAGTTGGGGATGACTATTAGTTGTAAAGAATGGATCGGTACTGTATCCGTGGGTGAATAGTCCAGTTAGCAGCGGATTAGCTTGGGTGATTAGGACTTCGGCGGGATGGACTGAAGGGCGGGTCAGTGCGTCGACGATGTTGTTGGCCCCTCGTTTGTAGGTGACTCTGTAGTGGAGATTTGACTCGACATAATCGAGCCAGCGAATCTGTCGGGGATTGAGTGTCGGTTGGGCGCGGATGAACAGTAGCGATTTGTGGTCTGTTCGGACTGTCGCATCGGCGCTCGTCAGGTAGCAGCGCCAAACCTTGAAAGCATGAACGATGGCGAGTAACTCCTTGTTGTGGACAGGATAATTTCGCTCGGCCGGATTCAGCTTGCGTGACTCGTAGGCGATGGGTTGGAGGCCTTCGCCGAAGTCCTGTAACAGTACTGCACCAACAGCCAGGTCGCTAGCGTCGGTGATGAGTTCGAACGGACGTTGAGGATCTGCAATGCGAAGAACCGGAGGTGTTGTCAGGAAAAGTTTGAGTTGGTCGAACGCAGCCTGCTGCTCTCCCCCCCACTCATAAAACTTGCCTTTCTTAAGAAGATCCGTGAGAGGGGAAGTTACCCCCGCCATGTTCGGGATGAACCGGCGAACGTAATTCACAAACCCCAGGAAACTTTGAAGTTCTCGGAGACTAGCCGGCGGCTTCCAGTCTTGTATGGTCGCGATTTTTTTCGGGTCGAATTTAACACCGTCGATGGAAATAACGTGTCCCAAAAACTCCAGTTCTTGTTTCAGAAACTCGCACTTAGAACCCTTGGTGATGAGTCGATGCTGCTGCAGAAGAGAGAAGACCGCTGCCAAATCCTTCAAATGCTGTTCCCGGGTAGTGCTGTATATCAGGATGTCGTCGAGGTACACAATGATGCATTTATCCAGCAGCGGCCGAAAAACTTCGTTCATGGTTAACTGGAACGTCGAAGGCGCGTTGGTTAAGCCAAAAGGCATAACGTGTACTCGTAACTCCCGTATCGGGTTCGGAATGCCGTCTTGTAGCAGTCAGCTTCGTTGACACGAATTTGGTGGTAACCGCATCGCAGGTTAATTTTCGAAAAGAACTTTGCCCCACGAATTTGGTCGATGAGTTCGTCGGCGCGTGGGATAGGATAACGGGACTTGATGGTAATCCGGTTCAAGGCGCGGTACTCGATGCACATTCGTAGACCGCTGTCTTTCTTCGGGGTGAACAGGATCGGAGCTGCAAACGGCGAAGTGCTTGGGCGAACGAAACCTTTCTCGAGCAGGTAGCCCAGCTGGCGTCGAAGTTCATCCAGCTCTGGGTGGGTCAGCCTCTATTGAGTCCTAACAGTCGGTTGCACACCGGGCTCCAACTCGATTTTGTGGTCGTGGTCTCGCTCAGGTGGCAATCCCGGCGATAGGTCGTCGGGAAAGATGTCTGCGTGTCTGCGAATCAAAGTCGCCAAGTCGTCGGGAACTGCTTCGCAAAGTTTTTCGATGTCGGCTGGTGCGCTGACAGCGGTGGATGCAATCCATCTGATGGCGTAGAGCTGCGCCCCGCGAATCATCGCTCGCTTGATGGTAACCGCGCTGACTGTTGCAGAATCTGGATTGTTCCACTTCGGAAGTCGTCTCCACTCGCCACCCCATTCAATGCGATAGTCACCTGTCCGCCAATCGATGCTCGGGTTGTACTCGCACAGCCAATCGTGGCCCAGCAGCATGTCGCAGCCGTCCAACGTTGTCACCAGCATCTTCGTCGTAAAGCTGAAATTTTCGCCGCATGTAACTCGCACGTGAGGTACTCGCTCCCGAATTGCCAGAGGTGTGCCGTCGACCAATCGCGCGTCGATTTCAGGCAGGCACCGCTCCAGTTGCAGTCGCATTTTTTTCGTTTTCGTCACATCCATTAAACTGTGGCTTGCCCCGCCATCCACGAATATTTTTATGCGGGTGTTGCCAACTCTCCCTTCGACCAGCACAGGGTGATCAACCGGTTCACCCCCCTTATTCAGCCAGGAATGGTCGATAGCCCAAATCGGCACTATAACCTGGTGGGGGTGGTGGCATTTGGGCGATGCAGTCAAGTCAGTAGGTGGCCCATCTGCTACTGACGATCTCCATTTCGCGACTGCTTCTTGTCGTTTGGTAAGTTCTTCTTCAGCTAAGGGCAATCCCTCACCATGTGACCCGGCTGGTTGCAGTGGAAGCAGGTCCCCGAAAATACTCGGGCTGCAAACACGTCCACGCCGTTGATTGATGTGTGTTGGGGCTGGCCTCGTAAGTGATTTCCCTCTCGGAAACCCGCTCTCGCGAGTCCACATCGCGCGTCCAGCGCATCCGCTATGCGAACAATCTCATTGAAGGTTGTCGGGGCTCGCAGGATGATTTCTTGTTGAATCTCCGGTTTGAGTACGCCCACGTAGCGATCGATATTCTCGTCCTCGCTGATCCCTCCGATTTGGTCGCAGATGGCCAGAAATGACGCCGTGTATTCTTGGACAAGGCCCAACTGTCTCCACATCCGAAGCTTTGTGCGAGCATTTTCGCGCATGGATATGTGCTCGAATCTGTTTTTCAACGCTTCGCCCCACGCTTTCCACGTGCGGATCGTAGTCGAGCCAAAGATTGGTTATGCCTTTGTCGTTGATGAACTCATCTCCCCAGCTGCTGCCCGTTGATTCCCTGCCGGAGCTCCTCCCTCGTTAAGATGCATGCGCCACCAGTCGAGTGCCGGTCCCCTCAGCAGTGATACAGCCAAGTTGACACGTGAGGCGTTGTCAACAATAATTGAGGCTGTGAAGAAGATTTCCATGGCGAACAGCCACCCGCTCACTGTAGTCGTCCTGTCGGTCGGGTTGAACGGTGGGGGCATTGGAGGCTTGATTTTAATGGCCGCCCACGGTTCGCTGTGGACTTCTTCAACTGCTTCAGGTGTCGCTGACGCCTTCGCTTCGCTCGCAACATCCTCGTCTCGGGTAACAGGCCGCTCCTGACGCGTTTCACCCCGCGTCTGGCGAAGTGACGAGTTTTCGTTGCGCAGCGTCTGAACTTCGCTTCCCAGCGACTCAAATTTATCCGCGAGTTGTTGAAGCTGGGCCTGCAGTGTCGTCACTGTAGCCGCCCTGGCTTGCAACTCGTCAAACTCCTCCTGAGTCACGATCCTAACACTACGACGGGCAGAGGTTTCCGGCGTGCTAGTCATGATGGAAATTTTACCTGACAGATCTGAGGGTGCACATGCTTTTAGTTGGAGGAGCTTTAACGAGCTCGCCTACCAACCGCTGGCCAACCCTCTATTCTATCGGGTCCTCTCCCGATATAATCGGACTACTCTACGGAAGACTAAGCGGGCAGGAACGGGGCTCTGATACCAGCTGTTATGAATTAATCTGAGTAATAATAGGTAGTGTAATAAAGGAGTCATGATTCAAGAGTTGTCAATACAAATGAGGACCTAGGCATTTATAGGCACATCAGGGCTAGCCGAGAACCTCGCAAACAGGTTGGGGCGATTCGGTTGGCGAAAGCCACGAAAGCGCCGTGCGTTAGGTTTGGGTTTACGAAATGGTTCGGGACCGAGGAAAATGGCCGGGCCTGGTCTTCCGAGAGTCGAGGACGTACGCGCTGTAGTTGAGCCCAGTAAGGAAAATGATTTTTCCTTATATTACCAAATGGAGGGGTTCAAGATTAACAAAATTGGAAATAAATTTCTGCAATTTGGGTCAACAGAGGTGTTACTTGTCTAGCTGCATTGGAACACTTTGTGGAGTTCGGCACGCTTCATGCAATAGAAGTGACACTGTAAGCATTCCTACAGCTCGCAAATGTTCGCATTTGGAATTGAATTGTATACGTTCAAGCCCATGCATAGGAGTGAGCACAAATGCGCGATAGGGCCGGGGGTACCAATTTTCAGGTGAGCAAAGAAGTGTAGAGGCTTTAAATGAGGGAAGCGGTGCAAGTGTGCGGTGAGGTGAGCTGAGAAGTTTGGTAAGGTCTCAAGTAGCAAAACATTGTGCTAGGTTATATTGAAGAGGCCGGCCTCTTGCTTTCCTTGCCTCTTTTGCATCTCTTATTCAACCTTTATCTCTCTCCACCCCTATTCTTCCTCCCTTACTCACCCCTCCTCCTTCATCTCCTCTCTCCCTCCTCTTCCTCCTCTCTCCCCCCTCTCCCACACCCGTTCTCCAACATGCTGAGACAAGGGAGGAGAGGCCGGACTAATCATTTTTACAGATCTGCTGCCTCTACAATCCAGGAAGGAGTGGGTAGTGTGAATGCTAGAATAATACAAAGCCAAGATAAGGTAGGATCATTTGTAGCCTGGGTGGTATTAAATAACCATAGCATGCATCAGCAGCAAAACATTCCCTCAACCCCTTGCTCTAGCCCTTTCCCCTTATGTTCCCTTTCCATTACAGCCGTGAAAGAAACAAAGGTCGAGGAGCACAGCAGTGGATCGGCTGCATCATTGGTACATCATGTGAGGGAGTTGTACAATGCTCAAAAGAGCTTGGCTGCTGTGGAGGAGGATGCCACTTGTGCCGCTACTTAGGTGAGAAGAGCATCTGGATCTATGACTCGCGACGCTCCCTTCCTGAGAGTGGGCGTAGACGGTTGGCAAGGGATTTTCTTGTCTACCAGATGAGCTGGGCCACAGAGCCAAGCCACCCTTGCTGTTCATGTCTGTTGTGGGCTCCTATGGCTGCTACTGTTTGTGAGTGGTAAGAAGAGGCAACTGACATCGATGGAAATATCTGCAGGCGAGGGGTGCTGTGTTCAGTGGTTAGTGGTAGGAGGAACCCTAGGAGCAGGAGCCAAGACTACTATGGTGTCACTGCTAGGCTTTAGAGGTGAGGGGTGCTGCATTGGTGTGTGCATTGGTCAGTGGTAGGAGGAACCCTGGTGTCAATGCTGGGCTTGTATGGTGATGGGTGCGACTACTGCTGTTGCTGTGCTGGAAAAGAAATATGGCGCTGGTTTTGCTTGGCATACACCTCGTTTCAACCCCCTCCTCTCCAACCCCCCGAACGTCAAGTTGTGCTCTATTGCACACAGCACTTGGAGGAGTTTCTACAGGCACAAGTTGCTGCTGCTGGGTAGGACCCAAATCGCACTCACAAACACACAAAGGGCTGGTTACTACTGATTGTTAGACATCTAGGTGAGCGCCACCGGTGATAGCAAAGATGCATAGAAAGCTGGTCACTGGAGCGGTTGCTATGCTGGTCACCGGAGCGTTTGCTGTGGCCAACAGATCATGGCATGTATTCTATGTGCAATCAAATGCATGGTTGGCTGCGATCATGTGTCTTTCATGGGTGATGCATATTCATAAGTGGGTATTGTGTTAGCATGGATGCATGCTGAATGGTTGTGTATGACTTGCAGCATGGCGGTGGAGGAGTTTGGCAGAGGGCGTGGAGAGTTGGAGGCCTGTAGGGGCATATTCGCTTGATAACACGGTGGAGGAGGAGGTGAGGCGACTTGGGTGACAGGTCGGCCATCATTGCGCTGTGTGAGTACACAATGCATGGCCATTATTTTACCTCCATTCAGAAATGGCATTCAATACAAGAGCAGTTCCTGCAATTTTCTTTTCGCCCCCACGTATGATTTTCCACTTCAGTGGCGATTGAAAGATGCAGCTCTATGGTGTGGCATTGGTTGTGACAGAACACGGACCATGATCATGACATTTAGTACTTTGTTTCTCGAAGCGCCATGGTTTTCTTGTTTCTCATTCCTACTTCTACCAAGTTGTTGTTTGGTAGAAGGAGAATTCATTGCTGATTACAGCGCAGTTGCAGGCAGCAGAGGGAGAGGCGAGCGCTCCAAAGAAGTCCCATCAGCTGGAGGGAACGCATTCGATGATGGAAAGCACTCAAGTTGCCAAAGAAACTGGTTGGGCAGCTGAGAGAACAAGGCTGCAAGAAATGATTGACCGCATGCAAGACCTCATGCGAGGCGTCACTTACAAGGTAAGAAAGAGGCG